ACAAAAATTGGTTGGGCATGGTGGTGTGCACCTTTAGTCCCAGCTACTCGGGAGGCTAAGGCAGGAGAATTGCTTGAATCCGGGAGACGAAGGCTGCAGCAATCGCAGTACTGCGCTCCAGCCTGGGCGACAGAGAGAGACTCTTGTCTCAAAAAAAAAAAAAAAAAAAGTAACTTGGAAGGAGAGGAAAGGGAAGAGTATTAAAGAAAAACTTACTGACTCGACGGGTAAAAACAGTGGTAATACTGCCATTCATTTTAGGAAGCCCATGGTTCTTTATTTTAGAAAGACAATTGTGGCTGGGTGCAGTGACACACCTGTAATCCCAGCACTTTGGGAGGCAGAGGCGGGCAGATCTCCTGAGGTCAGGAGTTCAAGACCAGACTGGCCAACGGGGTGAAACCCCGTCTCTGCTAAAAATACAAAAATTAGCTGGGCATGGTGGTGTGCGCCTATAGTCCCAGCTACTCAGAGGGCTAAGACAGGAGAATTGCTTGAACCCGGGAGACAGAGCTGCAGTCAGCTGAGATCGTGGTACTGCGCTCCAGCCTAGGCAACAGAGAGAGACTCTTGGTCTCAAAAAAAAAAAAAAAAAAAGAGAGGGAGGAAAGGAGAAGCAAGGAAGGAAGGTTAGTTGCTCATCACCCATTTTGTGAGATGTTGGAGTTAAGTTGGTAAACATATTTACACAAAAAGAAATACAAATAGTAAACAAGTGTAAGAGAAGTTTGGCTGGGCATGGTGGCTCACACCTGTAATCCCAGCACTTTGGGAGGCTGAGGCGGGCAGAACATGAGGTCAGGAGATGGAGACCATCCTGGCTAAATTAGCCGGGCGTGGTTGCGCATGCCTATAGTCCCAGCTCTTCGGGAGGCTGAGGCAGGAGAATGGTGTGAACCTGGGAGGTGGAGGGTGCAGTGAGCTGAAATTGTCCCACAGAACTCCAGCCTGGGCGACAGTGAGACACTGTCTCAATTTAAAAAAAAAAAAGAGAAAGCCGGGCATGGTGACTCACGCCTGTAATCCCAGCACTTTGGAAGGCCAAGGTGGGCAGATCACGAGGTCAGGAGATCGAGACCAACCTGGCTAACATGGTGAAACCCCGTCTCTACTAAAAATACAAAAAATTAGCCGAGCGTGGTGGTGGGCGCCTGTAGTCCCAGCTACTCGGGAGGCTGAGGCAAGAGAATGGCATGAACCTGCGAGGTGGAGCTTGCAGTGAGCCGAGATTGTGCGACTGCACTCCAGCCTGGGCTACAGAGCCAGACTCTGTCTCAAAAAAAAAAAAGTTCATTTTTGCTACTAGATCCCTTTGTAAATTAGTGTTTTTTGGAAAGAGTATTCATTTAGATAAAGACTAGAAGGACATAAGGAAAACCAAAACATTTGTAAGTAGCTGTGATTATGGGGTTTTTTGTGTGTTTGTTTCTTTTAACCCATTTATGTCTGAGATTGCAATTTTTTGAATTTGAAAAAATCAGACCTTGGCAATGATCTTGAGAAGTAGGATATAAATAACTCCCACATGCTTAGCGTTCCAATAATGGAACAATAGGCATACATGGGTTTTAATGTTATGGGTGTTTTGTTTTGTTTTGTTTTTTGAGACAGAGTCTTGCTCTGTTGCCAGGCTGGAGTGCGGTGGCGCAGTCTCGACTCACTGCAACCTCTGCCTCCCTAGTTCAAGCCGTTCTCCTGCCTCAGCCTCCTGAGTAGCTGGGACTACAGGTGTGTGCCACCACACCCGGCTAATTTTTTTGTGTTTTTAGTAGAAACACGGTTTCACCATGTTGGCCAGATCCTGACCTGGTGATCCATCCGCCTCAGCCTCCCAAAGTGCTGGGATTACAGGCGTGAGCCACCGCGCCCAGCCGGGTTTTTTTTTTCTTTTTTTTTGAGATGGAGTTTTGCTCTTTCCCAAGGTGGAGTGCAATGGCACGATCTTGGCTCACTGCAACATCCGCCTCCCGGGTACAAGCCATTCTCCTGCCTCATTCTCCCGAGTAGCTGGGATTACGGACACGTGCCACCACGCCCGACTAATTTTGTGTTTTTAGTAGAGACCCGCCTAAAGTAGAGATTTTTAGTGATCCACCCGCCTCAGCCTCCCAAGGTGCTGGGATTACAGGCGTGAGCCAGCGCGCCCGGCCTATTTTTTTCCTCGCAGAGTTATATTAAGAGAAAGATACCGTGCACAGTGGCTCATGCTCGTAATCCTAGTACTTTGGAAGGCCGAGGCAGGCAGATCACTTGAGCCCAGGAGTTGAGAACCAGCCTGGGTAACATGGCAAAACCTCTTCTCTACAAAAAATACAAAAATTAGCCAGGCATGGTGGCATGCAACTGTAGTCTCAGGTATTTGGGAAGCTCAGGTGAGAGGATCACCTGAATCTGGGGAGGTTGAGGCTGCAGTGAGCTGAGATCGTGTCGCTGCACTCCAGCCTGGATAACAAAGAGACCTTGTCTCCAAAAAAAAAAGGCTAGGTTCGGTGACTCATGCCTGTAATCCCAGCACTTTGGGAGGCCGAGGCAGGCGGGTTACCTGAGGTCAGGAGTTCAAGACCAGCCTGGCCAACATGGTGAAAACCCCGTCTCTGCTAAAAATACAAAAATCAGCCGGGCGTAGTGGCTCACGCCTGTGATTCCAGCACTTTGGGAGGTGGAGGTTGCAGTGAGCTCCAAGGCAGGCGGATCACAAAGTCAGGAGATCGAGACCATCCTGGCTAACACGGTGAAACCCAGTTTCTACTAAAATATACAAAAAATTTAGCCGGATGTGGTGGCGGGCACCTGTAGTCCCAGCTACTCGGGATGCTGAGGCAGGAGAATGGCATGAACCTGGGAGGCGGAGCTTGCAGTGAGCCAAGATCGTGCCACTGCACTCTAGCCTGGCTGACAAAGCGAGACTCTGTCTCAAAAAAAAAGATGCACATTTATCTTTGTGGATGGAGACATAACAGATGAGTTAGTTCTAACTAATTGTATTTTCATAATTTTGGCTTATTGGAACAAATAGAAATTTCAGGCTTTAGGGAAAATCTGAGCCTGCAGAGAATTTGTGGATGGAATCATGGAGTTCTGTGTTGGAAACCTGGCTTAAATCACCGTTTAAAGATTTTATATTATTTACTTCTTGTTTTGAGGTTCTATAACTTGTGTATTCAATGAGAAAAGAGGTGGTGAGCTCAGTTGGGAAGCAGGGCTAGAAATGGGAGCTATACTGGAAATTCTATTGTGTTAGAGTCTCCCTCTTTCGCCCAGGCAGGAGTGCAGTGGTATGATCATAGCTCATTGCAGTCTTGAGCTCCCAGTTTCAAGTGATCCTCCTTCCTCAGCCTTTCAAAGTGCTGAGATTACAGGTGTGAGCCACCATGCTCAGCTGGATTCTTTTGTTTGTTTTGTTTTGTTTTGAGATGGAGTTTTGCTCTTGTTGCCCAGGCTGGAGGGCAATGGTGCGATCTCAGCTCACTGCCACCTCCACCTCCCAGGTTCAAGCAATTCTCCTCCCTCAGCCTCCCAAATAGCTGGGATTACAGGCATGCACCACCACACCTGGCTGATTTTGTATTTTTAGTTAGTAGAGACAAGGTTTCTCCATGTTGGTCAGGCTGGTCTTGAACTCCCGACTTGAGGTGATCCACCCACCTCGGCTTCCCAAAGTGCTGGGATTACAGGCATGAGTCACCACACCTGGCCTGGATTCTTCATATGTAAATCTTTTTGCTTCTTTGTTTATTTATTTTTGAGGTTTCGCTGTCACCTAGGCTGAAGTGCAGTGGCACAGTCACAACTCACTGCAACCTCTACCTCTCGGGCTCAAGTGATTCTTTCACTTGAGCCTCCCAAGTAGCTGGGACCACAGGTGTTCATCACCATGCTAATTTTGGGGGGTGTTGTTGTTGTTGTTGTTGTTGTTGTTTGGTGAAGACTGGGTTTCACATGTTGCCCAGGCTGGTCTCAAACTCCTGAACTCAAGTGATCCCCCCTCCTTGGCCTCCCAAAGTCCTGGGATTACAGGCTTGAGCCACTGTGCTGGGCCATGTGTGTCTGTGTGTGCTTGTGTGTGTGTGTAAGAGGGTGTTGTTCTGTCTACCAGGTTAGACTGCATTGGCCACCACTGCCACCACACACAGCTAATTTTTTTTAAATTTGGAAAGATAGGGTCTCACTATATTGCCCAGGCTTATATGCACATCTTTATGCAGCTTCATGCCTGCACTTTTTTTTCCCCATTGGTCCTTTGGAAATTGTTCCAGTTTTTTTTTCCTGTATCTTTAAACAACAAAACAAAGCACTCTTTAAATTTACTATAAACACATAACATTCAGGAATTGTTTTAAATTTATTTTCTCGCCTTACGGATGACATTTGGCCAGAGGTGTGCAGAGTTGCCAGAGCTTGATAATGAGCATAATTCATCTTGGAAACTTTTCTGTTTTGCTGTTTAATCCCTTACAGATACAGGTGTTTTCTTTCTGTGACTTTTTGTGAGCAGTTGTATCTGTAAATCACCTCCTATGGAGACGGGTGTTCCTGTGACTGAGAGCCAGCTGTTGGGTGTTTCAGCTAAACAGCTTGCTCCTGGTTAGCTGCTTAAATCCCCGAGAGGTATATTGGCTGCTTCAGGGAATACAGCAGACGGGGTGAAGGTTTTTGCAAGACCTTTAGTGACCCACTTTCAATTTGCTGCAATTCTTCTGCTTTGGCTTTTTCCTATAGGTGCCAGAGTTCATCTGCTTCATGCTTTTACTACTGACTCATCTTCCTGTTGTATATTCTTAGACTGGTAGAATCTTTAGGTCACCTGTTACATAGTTTCTCCTGCCACCTGTATGGGGAGGAGAAAACTGGTATTCAAACTGAAGCCTGTTTCCGTCTTATTCTCATTGATTTTTATGGTACATAGAAAACTTTGTTTCTTTCTGAAAATAGCATTTTAGTGATTCATTGTTTTCTGTGGCAGGAAGCTTATGACCTGCTCTTTTCTTTTTCCTTTCCAGAGGGAATCTGGAAAAATTGCAATCAAAACATCATTTCTCTAAGAAAATTGTGGGTAACAGAAGCTCTGGACAACAGGTAAAGTGTATTTAAACTTAGGTGGTGCTGACAAATCATCTGTAATCTGCAGAAGTAAACTGGGAGAGAGAGGAAGACAAGTTAAAAGTTAAGTCTACTTTGTGTTGGGGTTCTATTGGGGATTTCCCATATATTACCTCATTTAGGTGTTTTTTACCTGGATCCTGGATGTAGATCTGTGAATCTCAGAAAGAAACTATCCTTTAAAATGCTATTTTAAGTGGATTTGCTGTTGATTGAATTTAATGTCCTCACAGTTCAGTTTGGCAATCATTTTTTAATGTCTGCCATAAATAAGGTATAGAAGTATAATTTGTAGATTCTGTTATATAGTAAAGGGGTATAATATTTATTGCAAAACCATTCATTGTGGGCTTCCAAGTGAAACCAAAATCTGGTATGCTATACAGCCTAGCTAGGGAAGATCTTCCTAGTTCCCTTCGTCTTTTTAGTTCTTAATGATTGCCAGCAGTTTGTAGCTGTACCATCTTCTTAATCCCTTTTAGCACTTGTCTAAAATTTAAGTTTCCTAATAAGTCACCCCTTCACAGTGGAGTCTAGCCGAGATGTCCCCTTTATGTTCTCCGTGGTGGTTTTTCTGTGATTGGACCGAATAACTATACCTGTGTGTTTTTTTAATCTCTATCTCACAAAATTCTGAAGGTCTCATGAAATAATAGTATGTGTAAAGAACCTGGGTATGGCCGGGCATGGTGGCTCACACCTGTAATCCCAGCACTTTGAGAGGCCAAGGCAGGAGGATCACCTGTGGTCAGGAGTTCGAGACCAGCCTGGCCAGCATGGTGAACCCTCATCTCTACTAAAAATACAAAAATGGTGGTGCATGCCTATAATCCCATAACTATACTCGGAGGCTGAGGCACAAGAATCACTTGAGCACAGGAGGCAGAGTTTGCAGTGAGCCAAGATCACACCACTGCACTGCAGCCTGGGTGAAAGAGGGAAACTGTCTCAAAAAAAAAAAAAAAAAAAAAGAACCGAGGTCTGAGAAATACATCTCGATAAATAGTAGCTACAAGTTTACCTTTCAAACCAGAGGAGACGTGAAAGTAATCCATACTTTCTAGGACCTTGTAGGGCCAACAGGTGTTGACTGAGGTGAATTGACCTGCCTGAAGATAGTGGAGAGTGAGATGCTGTTTATTCTTTTTTTTTTTTGAGATAGAGTCTTGCTCTGTTCAAGTGATTCTCCTGCCTCAGCCTCCTGAGCAGCTGGGATTACAGGCACACACCACCGTGCCCGGGTAATTTCTGTATTTTTATAGAGACGGAGTTTCACCATGTTGACCAGGCTGGTCTTTAACTCCTGACCTCAAGTAATCTGCCTGCCTTGGCCTCCCAAAGAGCTGGGATTACAGGTGTGAGCCATCGCACCCAACCGAGATGCTGTTTATTCTAACATTTGTTCCACTGTGAACCTTGAAGTTAGATTTCAAGTATTCAAAGTAGTAGTTCCTAGAGATATCATAAATTAATAATTAAATTAAGATTTAATATTTGTTGATTTTCTTTTGGTATTTTTCCACTTTTATCAGGGCATACCAATTCAATCACCATGAGTTGGAGCTTCCTGACTCGCCTGCTAGAGGAGATTCACAACCATTCCACATTTGTGGGGAAGATCTGGCTCACTGTTCTGATTGTCTTCCGGATTGTCCTTACAGCTGTAGGAGGAGAATCCATCTATTACGATGAGCAAAGCAAATTTGTGTGCAACACAGAACAGCCGGGCTGCGAGAATGTCTGCTATGATGCGTTTGCACCCCTCTCCCATGTACGCTTCTGGGTGTTCCAGATCATCCTGGTGGCAACTCCCTCTGTGATGTACCTGGGTTATGCTATCCACAAGATTGCCAAAATGGAGCACGGTGAAGCAGACAAGAAGGCGGCTCGGAGCAAGCCCTATGCAATGCGCTGGAAACAACACCGGGCTCTAGAAGAAACGGAGGAGGATAACGAAGAGGATCCTATGATGTATCCAGAGATGGAGTTAGAAAGTGATAAAGAAAATAAAGAGCAGAGCCAACCCAAACCTAAGCATGATGGCCGACGACGGATTCGGGAAGATGGGCTCATGAAAATCTATGTGCTGCAGTTGCTGGCAAGGACCGTGTTTGAGGTGGGTTTTCTGATAGGGCAGTATTTTCTATATGGCTTCCAAGTCCACCCGTTTTATGTGTGCAGCAGACTTCCTTGCCCTCATAAGATAGACTGCTTTATTTCTAGACCCACTGAAAAGACCATCTTCCTTCTGATAATGTATGGTGTTACAGGCCTTTGCCTCTTGCTTAACATTTGGGAGATGCTTCATTTAGGGTTTGGGACCATTCGAGACTCACTAAACAGTAAAAGGAGGGAACTTGAGGATCCGGGTGCTTATAATTATCCTTTCACTTGGAATACACCATCTGCTCCCCCTGGCTATAACATTGCTGTCAAACCAGATCAAATCCAGTACACCGAACTATCCAATGCTAAGATCGCCTACAAGCAAAACAAGGCCAACACAGCCCAGGAACAGCAGTATGGCAGCCATGAAGAGAACCTCCCAGCTGACCTGGAGGCTCTGCAGCGGGAGATCAGGATGGCTCAGGAACGCTTGGATCTGGCAATTCAGGCCTACAGTCACCAAAACAACCCTCATGGTCCCCGGGAGAAGAAGGCCAAAGTGGGGTCCAAAGCTGGGTCCAACAAAAGCACTGCCAGTAGCAAATCAGGGGATGGGAAGACCTCCGTCTGGATTTAATCCTGGCGGGCTTAAAACCTGTGCTTTTCATAGTTTATGGTAAGCAGCAGCTCACTGAATAATGACTTCCATTGAGTAAACATTTGGCTCTGGTTATCTTCAGGGATGCTGTTGGCTCATGATCCAAGCTCAGGGGACTCTGGAGGCGGGGCTGGGCTGAGGGGGAGAAACGGAAACACAGTGTTCCTGGGCACATGTTCTTAGCAATAATACAGTTGCAGAACTTTACATTTGTGTCTTCCAGATCTGGAGAAGAACAGACATATTTAAATCATTCTTGTTGAACAGTTTTTGTATGTACAGTATTATGGTACTTTTTTTTTAGTATGAGAACTTTTTTTGTATTTGTACATTGAACTGCTGTAGTTATACTTTTATATTAAAGGGGAAAAAGTCCTTATAAGTAATGCCTATTAGGCTAGTGCTATTACTTTGTTCAGCAAATTCTACCCTGGCTTTAGAGTTTTTAATAGATGCTACACCTAATAAAAGTGCCTCTCATATTGCAGGAATGATTTCAGATGTGTAAGGAGACTGAAGAGGAGATACCAGTTTTTAGTCTTGGAAAGCAAGTTCACAGTATAAGGAGGTTGAGAGCTTTCTTTTACATGAGAAATCTTTGAATCTCATTCATGCAATCAGAGTTGTAGCCAGTTTTTGAAAACCTTATTTTCAAAGGAAATAAATGATTCACTGTAGGATTCCTTTAAATATCAAGCATCACCAGTATATGCTTTGACGGTGTGTGTATATAACTTAAAGTTCTTTCAAAAACTTGCTACAGAAATGTGTCCCCAGTTTGGTAGCAATGTGGAAAACTTGGCTTGAGATGATGTGGAGCTGTACCCTCAGAAAACAAAGCCATGCCTGGAATCCCTAATAGGATGCTTAGTTGTGAACCTGTTTGAGTTGCCTTAAACCTCTATCCAGAAACCTGCCTGCTTCTCTCCCTCTGGTTAAGAAGCCAGTGGTGAATATTTTCTTTGTTAACATTAGAAATGCAAACATTCCTTTGTCAACCAAGAATACTCAAAGCTACTTGTATTGGAAATGGCAGAAGGCTTAAATCCAAATTTCTTTTTTATAATTTACCACAGAACTTTTGTGATTAAACAAATTCGGCCAGTGGAGGTTTATACCTGAAAGGTCATGGGGTCCTCTCTGTAAATAGACCTAAAGAGAAGTGCAGTATTTATTCCTTGTAGGCATAATGTGTTTGTCACTGACAAGCATTCATGTTCATCCCACTAGTCTTTTATCGTCATTTTCAACCTTATGTTGCAGAGCTTTGCTTTCTCATCATGTTCTCATTGTCTTAAATTTTGTGAGCTTCTGAGAAAGAGCTTGGTAAAGGTTTAAAGGGGCCTTCGTTCCACCAGGGAGCATTTTATTTGTGCGTCTCACCCTTTTCTAACGAAAGCTATTGTAAGCCACCTCTGACTTGGAAATTCTGAAAGTATGAATATTTTTTATATCTTAATTGTAAAATGCCAGTTCTCCATTATTTAGATGAACACTAGAACACTGCACCCTTTGTGCAGTGTTTTTCTTTGTTTCTGCATTGCATTCCTACCCCCACCAAGAAAATAAACTTAAGGAAATTTTTTTTGAGGCAGGGTCTCCCTCTTTCACCCAGGCTGGAGTGCAGCAGCATGATCTCAGCTCACTGCAGCCTCTGCCTTCCAGGCTCAAGCGATCATTCTACTTCAGCCCCCTGATTAGCTGGGACTACAGGCATGTGCCACCATACTCGGCTAATTCTTTAAAAAAATTTTTTTTTTGTAGAGATGAGGTCTCACTATGTTGCCCAGGCTGGTCTCGAACTTTTGGGTTCAAGTGATCCTCCTGCCTCAGCCTCTCAAAGTGTTAGTATTATAGGCATGAGCCACCATGCCCAGCCTAGAAAATTTAGCCTTATCTTTTAGCCATTCATTTACTTTTATTTGCTTAAAAAAAAAAAAAAAAAAAAAAAAAAAAAATTTTAGCCCAGAGAAGCACCTCAGGAACTCTAAACATCTTAAGCAAAAATTAAACTCAAAGGAGACTGAAGGAGAAGTTTCAGAAAGTAATACACATGTATATCATGGGTAATTAATAGACATGCACAGCTTCCTTCAAATCAAATGCTTAATAAGGAAATTCATATAATTCCAAGAAAACAGGCAAAATTTTGAATACATAAGCCTAGGTAAGATAAAGAACTGCCAGTTAATTCTTACGTCAGTGGAGCTTCAAGCAGGTTTTTTAATTGAAGGACAAAACATGTCCATACATTTGTGTTATCTATTCAGAGCCTGAGGGAGAAGAGAGTGGTTTTGCCAGTGGAAAGGTTGGGGATTTGAGAATGATACAGAGGGAAGGAGTCAAGCAGAAATGCCAGGAAGAACCAGGCAAAGACATTTGGCGCCAGAAGCATCCACTTAGTTTCTATGAAGAGTGCCCCTGGTGTTTCATCTTGGCCTGTTCTGATGAGAATGTTACCTTTTGTGTCTGGATAACTCGTTAGCTTCTTAAAGTACATATAAAGATACTCTGTCACCTCCCCACATGCACACACTTTTAAAATCTATTTTTATTCTCTTGCTAAAGTTGTAATTATGTCAAGAATTTTCTAGCTCTAACTGCCTTCTTAGTACATATCTTTCTCCCTTTAAAGCATATGAGTTTGCCAAAGTCATTTTCCCCTAATGACATATTGTAAACTTACATCAAGAAAATGGGCCAGGCGTGGTGGCTCATGCCTGTAATCCCAGCATTTTAGGAGGCCCAGGCTGGCGGATCACCTGAGGTCAGGAGTTCAAGACCAGACTGGCCAACGTGGTGAAACTCCGTCTCTACTAAAAATACAAAAATTAGCCAGACGTGCTGGGTGGACGCCTGTAATCCCACCTACTTGGGAGGTTGAGGCAGAAGAATTGCTTGAACCCAGGAGGCAGAGGTTGCAGTGAGCTGAGATCACACCATTTCACTCCAGCCTGGAAGACAGAGTGAGACTCTGTCTCAAAAAAGAAAGAAAATGAGCCTATTCATGTCTGCCTAACCCATTGGTGGGGTCTGCATTGAATCTCTGTATTGTTCTGAAACATGCAGGTGGGGTTTGTATAAAAAGCCTGTCCAACATTGAGTTCCCCACCCCATCAGAATCATAGTGTTTTGAATTGCCATATAAGACACGCTCCATCATGACACTTGCTTCTACTCCAAATATAAGTTGAGTTCTTAGTCCTTCACCTGCTAGAATCAGGATACAATCGACATGATTATGTTCCTTAACACACTTTGATTTATGCAGATGTGGTGTGTCCTTTGCTCTTCATTTTTCTCTTAAGACGGAGTCTTGCTCTTGTCGCCCAGGCTGGAATGCAGTGGCGTGATTTCAGCTCACTGCAACCTCCGCCTCCTGGGTTCAAGCGATTCTCCTGCCTCAGCCTCCCGAGCAGCTAGGATTACAGGCACTGTCATCATACCCGGCTAAATTTTTTTGTATTTTTAGTAGAGACAGGGCTTCACCATGTTGGCCAGGCTGGTCTTGAACTCCTGATATTGTGATCTGCCCACCTCAGCTTCCCAAAGTGCTGGGATTACAGGCATGAGCCACCGTGCCCAGCCTGCTCTTCTTAAAACCCGTTATTCAGAAGAGATTTGTAAAAGAAATGCGCCTTTTTTTTTTTTTGGTTAATTCAAACTTGAGGGGAAAATTAGATAGCATTTTCCCCTAAAGAAATGTTAATGTTCATTTTGTGGCTTTGTTTTTGCTTATTTAGTTTTGCCTGTTTCTTTATGTGTTCATTTAAAGCCACAAGTATGTTACATCATTTTAAGTCAGTTTTTCTGGGGATTTTCCTCGACTAATGTCTATAGAATTATTTACTCTTGATACAAATGAACTTTGCCATCCAGAATGATTCTCAGTTTCGGACTTCCACTTAATGTGTTTTTTTTTTTTTGGAAGGACATCTGTATCTTTAAAGGGGAAAAAATCAGTATTAGGTACTTTATTAACTCATTTATTCATGATATGAAATTAGGCAGATCACTTTACTTTTCCAAGTTTCAGGAGCCATGTACCTCTCAAAAGTGTTACGAAGTGGTTAGAAAAAGCCTCTGGTAAAAGGTGTTCAAGGACCAACCATTATTATTGGTCACTTGTTTGAACTTGGCGCTTAAAAAAAAAGTTGGACTGTGACGCTTGGTGCTGTTTATCACAGACATCAGTGATGGTCTGAAACACTCTTTAGCAGTTTATACCAAGAATGGACTTAATTTGTTATCAGTTACACCCATGATTTACTCGTTCAGCTTGTGCAAGTCCATACTTCATGCTTTCTGTCTCATTTAAGAGACAGTCCACTTCTAAAAATAACATCAATAGTTGATGATACGTTTTTGGCTAGCCAGCTTTCTGTAAAAGGCAAGAATGTTAGACATGCACAGTTTCCTTCAAATCAAATGTTTAATAAGATACTTCAAGAAACGCCTTTTTAAAAATCAAAGGTTTTGGCCAGGAGTGGTGGCTCACGCCTGTAATCCCAGCACTTTGGGAGGCCAAGGCGGGCGGATCATGAGGTCAGGAGTTTGAGACCAGCCTGGCCAACATGGTGAAACTCCATCTCTACTAAAAATACCAAAAATTAGCCGGGCGTGGTGGCGGGTGCCTGTAGTCCCAGCTATTCAGGGGGCTGAGACGAGAATCGCTTGATCCCAGGAGGTGGAGGTTGCAGTGAGCCGAGATTGCATCATTGCACTCCAGTCTGGGCAACGAGTGAATCTCTCTCTCAAAAATAATAACAACAAAGTCCTGGCATGCAGTTTGGAAATAAAATTTAAACTCATCTATATATAATAAATGTAATAATTCACAGTCACCATCAAATGTTGGAATCATTGAATTGCGTAATTGTACTCATTCCGACCACATCATGAAGTTTAAAGATTTGTATTTGCTGTTGTCCCTATGTAGTTCTATCGATGTTTGGTTTTGTTTTTTGGGGTTTGTTTTGAGAAAGGGTCTGTTGCCTAGGCTGGAGTGCAGTGGCATAATCTCAACTCACTACAGCCTGGACCTCCTGGGCTCAAGCAGTCCTCCCACTTCAGCCTCCCAAGTAGCTGGGCTGCAAGTGCTCACCACCACACCTTGCTAATTTTTGTATTCTTTGTAGAGACAGGGATCTTTGTGTTTCCCAGACTGGTCTCAAACTCCTGGACCCAAGCAATCCTCCCGTCACAGCCTCCCAAGGTTCTGGGATTACAGGCATGAGCCACTGTGCCCAGCCTGTTTTTAATAATGATATTGAGTTTGGTTCCTGTGTTATTAACGTTAATAATCGTACTTTTTTTTTTTTTTTTTTTTTTTTGAGACGGAGTCTTGCTCTGTCGCCCAGGCTGGAGTGCAGTGGCCGGATCTCAGCTCACTGCAAGCTCCGCCTCCTGGGTTTACGCCATTCTCCTGCCTCAGCCTCCCGAGTAGTTGGGACTACAGGCGCCCGCCACCTCGCCCGGCTAGTTTTTTGTATTTTTTAGTAGAGATGGGGTTTCACCGTGTTAGCCAGGATGGTCTCGATCTCCTGACCTCGTGATCCGCCCGTCTCGGCCTCCCAAAGTGCTGGGATTACAGGCTTGAGCCACCGCGCCCGGCCTTTTTTTTTTTTTTTTTTTAAAGAAACCATGGTATTCTAAAATCCAGGAGTCCAAATAAAAGAAAGCTCTCGGCTGGTGTGGTGTCTAACGCCTGTAATCCCAGCACTTTGAGAGGCTGAGGTGGGTGGATCACTAGAGGTCAGGAGTTTGAAATAAGCCTGGCCAACATGGTAAAACCCCCTCTACTAAAAATACAGAATTTAGCTGGTCATGGAGGTGCACGTCCCAGCTACTCAGGATGTTGAGGCATGAGAATTCCTTGAACCCAGAAGGCAGAGGTTGCTGTGAGCCAAGATTGTGCTACTGCATCCCAGCCTGGGCGACAGAGTAAGACTGTCGCCAAAAAAAAAAAAAGGAAAAAAGTGCACCAGTGCAGTTTCTGCAGAGATAAGTAATAGTTCTGGCTGGGTGTGGTGGCTCACGCCTGTAATCCCAACACTTTAGGAGGCCAAGGCAGGTGGATCACCTGAGGTGAGGAGTTCGAGACCAGCCTGGCCAACGTGGCAAAACTGTCTCTACTAAAAATATAAAAATTAGGTATGGTGGCACGTGCCTGTAATCCCAGGTACTTGGGAGACTAAGGCATGAGATGAGAATCTCTTGAACCCGGGAGGTAGAGGTTGCAGTGAGCTGAGATTGCACCACTGCACTCCAGCTTGGGTGACGGAGTGAGACTCAAAAAAAAAGATACTAGTTCTGCATTTCAGAGTTGGCTTGTTGAACCAGGCTATATGCTTCCAAGATTTAAAATGTTTTTCTGTATTATACTCTCAATTGTGTTTTCAAAAATATCTTACAGAAATCTCTACCTCAGGCACTAAGTGTTATGACGTGGGTAGCATATTGATATCGAAAACTTAGCTAGGACTTCCAGCCTTTTAAGATAATTTAAATGTAAAATTAAACGGTTAACCAGCAATCTAATGTCATGTGGTGTGCAGTTTGGATATTGCATGAACAGCTAAGGAATCACCTGTTCTAGTGCCAAAGATCACTCATTGCTAATTTTGTTCTGTACAGCTTATGTAAAACTTTCATGGTGGAGACAGACTCTGTGCTCAGGGCCTTGTCTCCAGGAAGATTTTGTCAATTCCAAATACAGTTTTGAAGATTCTTTTGTGGTTTGTGCTTCCTTTCTCAGAATTCGAAACCAACTGAAAATCAGCTGCCAGGAAATGTCATGTTGAGGATTTTACCTTATTCATATAAAATAATACCCAAGAGCTTAGTGATATACTCAGGAAACCTAATATGAAAATCTCTTCCTCATACATTTCACCTGTAAGTTGATCTTGGTGGGAATACTTGAGCAGAGAAATTTCCAACTAAAGGTTTGGGTGTATAAGATGCCTTTTTTCAGAGCTGATTTGAAGCTCTTCTGGGACTACTGTGGCTAAATAGGTCAGCATATTTGTGGCGTCGCAATCTGGAGAATATAGGTAGCCTGGTGGGGGAGGCTGGGGTCTAAGCTCAGAAGCTGGGAATGCACCCTTGACATCCCTCGGTTCTGGAGGCCTTTCCTGGAGTGCCTTCTGCAAGGGACCCTTTGCGGCAGCAGAGTGAGCAGTGTCATTGGAAAGCCTAATCCACCTCCTGAGAAGGAAACAGCAATGCCCTTTTGTTCCTTCAGATACGGGATAGCTGACTGGTAGGTCACGAACAGCTCACCCTCAGCAGCGCAGATTGTAGACTGGTCAGCCAACCATATTTGGTAATGAACTTGTGAGCTGTTTGAAAGCTATTGGAGCAGTTAAATCACTCTGGATCTGTTATTTTTGAAAGCAGATTCTTTGGCAGATTTGCCATCAGTACGGAGACTAATACCTGAAAAAGGTATTGGCATCAAATATGTTTTCCTTGCTACACAGAGTTTGAAAACTGTTTTTAAGGTTTTAAGGGCTTATATGATACTTTTAGGGTTTGTTTCCTTTAGATATCTCCCGTTGGAAGCAGGTTACACAGGGGCATGAAGAACATGGAAGTGGAGGCAAAGTTGGGAACAAAATCCAGGTCTATACAATCCAGTATCCTTTGTTCTGCAAGAGGAGGGTCCAGAAGCAGCTGTTAGCGGGTGCTCACAAGGGTTTGAGGGCATCTTTGCTGGGTGGACCTTGTATCTGTCTATTACAATACTTTCTCAAAATGTAACCATTGGACCATTGGACTACTTGTTAGAAGTAACAGGAATGCTATTAAAATATAGATTTTTAGGCCGAGGCGGGCGGATCACGAGTTCAGGAGATCGAGACCATCCTGGCTAACACAGTGAAACCCCGTCTCTACTAAAAATGCAAAAAAATTAGCCGGCCGTGGTGGTGGGCGCCTGTAGTCCCAGCTACACGGGAGGCTGAGGCAGGAGAATGGCGTGAACCCGGGAGGCGGAGCTTGTAATGAGCCGAGATTGCGCCATGCACTCCAGCCTGGACAACAGAGCAAGACTCCGTCTCTAAATACTATATATACATGCATATATATATATATATAGAGAGAGAGAGAGAGAGAGTGATATAGATATATAGATTCCTAGTCTGGGCAACATAGTGAGACCCGTACAAAAAAAAAAGGAAAAAATTAGCCGGGCATGGTAGTACTCACCTGTAGTCTGAGCTCCTTGGGAGGCTGAGGCAGGAAGATCGGTTGACCGCCGAGGTGGAGGCTGCAGTGAGCTGTGGTTGCACCACTGCACGCCACCCTGGATGACAGAGCGAGAGCGAGACCCTGTCTGTTTGTCTCTCTCTATCTATATATATGTGTGTGTGTGTGTGTGTGTGTGTGTGTGTCTGTGTATATTCCTTAGATCCATTGCAGACCTAAATAATCAGAACTAACAAGTTCTCTGGGCGATTCATTTTTTAAAAATCTTTTATTAGCCAGGCGCGGTGGCTCACGCCTGTAATCCCAGCACTTTGGGAGGCCAAGGTGGGCGGTTCACGAGGTCAGGAGGTCGAGACCACGGTGAAACCCCGTCTCTACTAAAAATACAAAAAATTTGCCAGGCGCGGTGGTGGGTGCCTGTAGTCCCAGCTACTCAGGAGGCTGAGGCAGGAGAATGGCGTGAACCCGAGAGGCGGAGCTTGCAGTGAGCCGAGATCGTGCCACTGCACTCCAGCCTGGGCGACAGAGCCAGACTCTCTCAAAAAAAAAAAAAAAAAAAAAATCTTTTATTAAGATATAATTTACATGGAGTAAAACTGTTGTATAGTTAGAAATGCATACAGTTAAGTAACCAAACCAGAAAGATGCAGAATAGTTGCATTACCCCCAAATTATCTGGTGATTCTTATGTACATTATAGTTTGAAAACCACTCATTTTTTAAAAATTGAAGTAGGCTGGG